TCCACTTCCGATCGGTGAATGATTAAATATTCCGTCGATTAAAAAAAAAAAACCTTGCAGAATAGTTTAACTAGCGGCCACAATTTTGTAGGAACTTGGTCGCGAGTCATGATTTACGCAATGAGCAGCAGTTATTGCATACTCTTGGTTTACGCAATGAGCAGCAGTTATTGCATACTCTTCGTTTACGCAATGAGCAGCAGTTATTGCATACTCTTGGTTTACGCAATGAGCAGCAGTTATTGCATACTCTTCGTTTACGCAATGAGCAGCAGTTATTGCATACTCTTGGTTTACGCAATGAGCAGCAGTTATTGCATACTCTTCGTTTACGCAATGAGCAGCAGTTATTGCATACTCTTGGTTTACGCAATGAGCAGCAGTTATTGCATACTCTTGGTTTACGCAATGAGCAGCAGTTATTGCATACTCTTGGTTTACGCAATGAGCAGCAGTTATTGCATACTCTTGGTTTACGCAATGAGCAGCAGTTATTGCATACTCTTGGTTTACGCAATGAGCAGCAGTTATTGCATACTCTTGGTTTACGCAATGAGCAGCAGTTATTGCATACTCTTGGTTTACGCAATGAGCAGCAGTTATTGCATACTCTTGGTTTACGCAATGAGCAGCAGTTATTGCATACTCTTGGTTTACGCAATGAGCAGCAGTTATTGCATACTCTTGGTTTACGCAATGAGCAGCAGTTATTGCATACTCTTGGTTTACGCAATGAGCAGCAGTTATTGCATACTCTTGGTTTACGCAATGAGCAGCAGTTATTGCATACTCTTCGTTGATCAAAGAAGCGCCACAAATGTGTCCACCTGAGTATCGAAGAGACAGCTGCCAAGGCCAACAACCATGTACTGCGGTCAGGGTTGTGCCTCCAACAATTCTAGACTGGCCCGGTCTTTGACCACAGGAAGCTGGGGTTTGGAAAAGCGACAGATGTAAAACGGATGAAAAAACTGAAGTATTTGGTCTTGAGTGAAAAATAAGCTATTGATGTCAAGATCTCTGATCGTAAAGTTATTTTATGACTTTAACTGGTTGGTAAATCTACTGAGAAATCATGCAGAAAAAAGGATTCAACTCGAGCTGAAGTAGTCCGCTTCACCAAGAATGAAAACCGGAACCTTGACCCTGTCCTGTTTCCTAAGTTTAGAAATTTTGATCAAGGTAACTCTTAGCAAGTATTTGATTCTTCCATTTGATTCTTCCATGTTAGGCATTGAAAGCGAAGGGGTTGCTGAGGTCAAGGGATGTTTTAAATGTAATAGAACAAGATGCGATCTTTGTCGCAACTTCTTGGTTGAATCTAATTCCTTTTTAAGTTTTCAAACAGGCAAGAGTTACAAGATACGATCGAAACTTTCCTGTGATTCTAAGAACATAATTTATTTGGCTTCGTGCAAGAAATGTCGCCTACAATACATTGGTTCCACAACAAATGACTTTAGAGTTAGATTTCGCAACCACAAGTCTGCTATGGTCACTAAGAAAAAGACCTGTGAAGTAGCGGTACATTTTAACAAAACACCACATGATTTAAGCGATTTCTCATTCCAATGCATTGATCAAGTGCAGGCGACAGTAAACAATTCAGGTAACATCGAGAAACTTCTAATTACCAAAGAAGCATATTGGAGCGCACAGTTGTTCTCTCTGGCACCCTTCGGCTTGAATAAGCGCCAGGAATTTCACTCCAAAAAAAGAATAAACTATAATTAATGCGGAGAATTTTTTCAAATTGGGCGGGCATCAAAGGTCCCAGTCTCAGCGTTGATTGGGAATTTTAGTACAATTCTCGCCTTTCAAGTCAACGCTGGTTCCTTAACATTTTCAGTGGATTCGACAATTTTTCCATTTCTTTTTATTGTGATAATTTTTCGCGTAGTAATTACTGTGTTTGTTTATATGTGTCATCACGCCCTATATAAATCTATTTAAGGAATTTGTAAGTCATTGTATTACAACTGATGAAGGTCTCGGACCGAAACGTATTTTATTAAACTTTCTTAGACTTTTTATTTGAGTATATGTCTTTCTTAGCTCGAAGTTGTCCGTCCTCGTGTACTACAATATTTTTCCTATATATATATATATATATA